CAGGAGCAGTAATGCAGCTGTTTCTCTGGAACAGCAAAGTGTGACTCAGAGAAGAATTAAACAGGGAATGAGAGCAGATACTGTCTAATAAAATACGTGATACTGTCTAATAAAATATGTGTAGCTAAAGTACTACGCTTTGAGAGTACAGCAATTGTCAGTTTTAGCTTACTATATTTTGGTATACCAGAGCACAACAAAGCCTTCCTGAATTTACTGAAGGGGGAAAAAAAAGGTAAATTTAAAAAAAAAAAAAAAAAAGTTGAATCCATGCACTGAAATAAAATTGTTGTAGTGGAATCTCATAAAAAGGATATCTATGCATACAGGGCAGTGCAGTGAAATTGCCTCTATTTAACACCTTCCTCACCTCCCAGCCAGCTTGTCAAATCCAACCATACACAGTTAGTGTTCTCTGCATTCACCAAAAACTATTTTTAAGCCCTCAAAGATAAAATGTAAACTTCCAGGAAAAGCGTCCTCTCATATCCTGTAATACTTTCTTAAACACTCTTAGCTTCTCTGTTGGTGGAAGAGGACACATGGGACTGTATTTGACCTGCCAGTCTCATTCATTTAATTACTATTTTATTTGGCCAGATGTTCAGGCTAATTGCAAAGCTGAAATATGAGCACTAGTAAAATCTTAAACTACTCGAATAGGCAGACTTCTTGCATACCAAAGCGCTGCATTTATGAGGTCCACCATATGTATGAACACCAAAATCCTAACTACAACTCTCATTAAGCCCTTCCTCTGGTCTTGCAGACCAAATGCATGGAGAAGGCTAGAAAATGAAATGCTAAATGTGATTCCTTCCCTCCCCCCGCATCCCCCATATAACAGGACTTGACTTGTAATTCAGAAGTTGTCCTTATGTGCTCAGGATGAAAAGTTATCTAATCATCTTAAATTTTCTTAATTTTCATGGATTCCTCAAGTTTACAGTAATCCCAGATGGAAATCACTAAACCACATGGTAGCTAATGCAATCTTAAGACACGTCAGATGATGGCTGGGTCACTCATCCTTTAAGGAACAGGCATGCATCTGTGTGGACATTGAAGCTGGCAGCTGAAGAAGATGCAGTCTTACTGAGAGAAAAATAGGGAGCACAGTCAAATCCAGGGATGTATTTGAATCTCTTTTCCTGGGCGGTTTATATTCCCTAGGATATGCTGTGAGCTGTATGGAAAGTTGGTTCTCCCACCTCACCTCTCGAAGCAAATGAACGTTCGGAGAGCTAAACTCATTAGGGGATTTGTAGCCAGTTTTCAAAAGGCTGAGAAAATTCACTGAGTGATGGTAGCATTTGAGTTTACACCCAAAACAAAACCCCCAAACCAACTAACGCACTGTCTTCCACATAGCTAACAAGACCGGGTGTCTTTCTAGCTCTCTCCAGCTTCTGTGTGCTCACACTACACAAGATTGAAAGAGTCCTAGAAAAGAACTCAGCCCATCATACCTAGAAAGAGAACCACTGTAGCCATCCCTAGAGCTTTGACAGCCCCATGGTTTAGAGTGCGTTCCCAGCTAGCCCACCCTTGCCCCTGCTCAGTGTGTTTAAACGCGTGGTACAGCGAGGACCTGCTGGGCTGTGAACTTGCACGGCTCAGTCTAACAGAAAGGAGCGGCATGGGTGGGGATGTTTTTGTATGTGCTGTGTAATTGAAAGCCTTGAGAAGACATTTTGCTGTTCATGGCATCGCTAGAGTGCGGGTTGAAAGGCCGAAGGGATGGGTGACCTTGCTGGAACCCACTGCAGCCAATGGCACCGTGTGAATCGGGTCAAACGTGATATAATGGAAACACTG